ACCAACCCACCAAACCCTAGTTTTATAAAATTTCATCAAATATGTCGCTAAGGGAGCCCGATTGTGGGACGCAAGCGGATTGTGAAGGGAAGTTCACTTGTAGGTCTGACCCGGCTGTCGAGGTGCTGGTAATTAATGAGCAGGTAGACATTGAAGACAAAGACGATGATGCAGAGAACAATGGCGACGATGACGAGCGCAAGGTTGAAATCACCCATCGCATTTAAAAATGAGGCTTCTATATCAAAACGCCCTTAAATTCAATAGAAAACTAATGAAAAAGACTTGAAAACTTTGAGTTTTAACAATAAGGACAAAATAAAGGGTAAAATGAATAGTACCAGGTTTGACTTTTTAATGTAAAAATGTGATTTTTCGTTAAAGTGAACAGTACCACGGGCTTTTCGTTAAAACTCCCTAAATTCAAACTAGCAATGGATATTTAAAAAGAGAATAAAAATCCTTGAATAAAAGAATAGAGATTATTTAAAATATAAGGGAAAATTGAAATAAAGATTAATAATTTAAAAGATAATAAAAATGACGTGGAATGAACTTATGTCAACAATCACGAGAAATAGATTGTTCTTAATATTGACTATGAAAATTGGACTTAAATTAAATTAAATCCTATAATATTCAGGTTCTTCAGGTGACCCAAAAAAATGGGAATCACATGCTCAGACTCAGTCATTACATATTTTTTAGGTTTTTTTAATCCAAAATGATTCATGAAAATTGCATATAACTCCTCATTTTAGTCATTAAAATTTGAAATCAATGGAATTGGTCCCTGAGTTTGTCTACCATCAATCATTTTGGCAATTCCTTGAAAAATCTCTATTAAATAAGAATGACCAAAATACTCCTAGTTTTTATTAAATCATTTTAGCCCATTGTTTATAAATTGAGGTATATTTGTCATTTTGATCCTTATTTAACGTAATTTTGTACGGAATGACTAAAATGATTGATAGTGGACAATCTCAATGACCACTTCTATTGATTTCAAATCTTAGGGACCAAAGTGATGTGTTATGCAAATTTCAGGGACTATTTTGACTAATAAACCTATCTTTTAATGGGATCGTATGGCTGTTAGTTAACTAAAGCTTTATTCGTTTTTAACTAAAGCTTGTTGAAAATATCAGCATTGTTGACAACATTGGCTGATAATTGAATGCCCACAAATGGATTTTCAACATTGCAGACTAATGAAAATATTGGCAATAGACTTTGGAATTGTAGGAATCACATTTTCAAAGTATATGCTGTAAATTTTGAATGTACAATTAATGGGTTTGATCGGAGCTGCTCTATAAATAAAGCGCTCTATATGCCTACAAGAAGATACAGAGAGAAAGCATACAGAAAAAAAGAAATCTCTTCCTCCATCTTTTATTTGTCATTCACTTGAGCTATAGTTTCAGTGTGATATTTTACATCTGCTTCGCACCTATCTAAAAGGTTATCCCTCTAACTTTGACATATTTATAACACGTTATCAGCGCGAGTTTCTAAATATAACCATGTCTCATTTACATTCACCAAAAAGAAATCATTCTCTCATTTCTCTCCGCCGAACGAAAAAAAAAAATATTTCCTCTACGATTTTTCCTGTTCATCTTCTTCCTCTGCCTCAACTGCGCGGTATACCCTCGCGACGAACTGTTTGCTCCATGCCTGCTCGTAGTTCTCCAACTGGCGGTTACATACATCTTTGATTTACTGCAATCCAAGATGGTGCGGTACAATCGCCCATCTTGAACTGCAAATTGCATCTTACTGCAATCCAAGATGGTGCGGTATCATCGCCTATCTTGGACTGCAGATCTACTTTTACTGCAAAATTCAGGTGGAGCGGTATAATCGCCCACCTTGCTCTGCAAATTTAAATTTACCCGCTGTTTAATTTCATTGCAATTTTTAGGTGGTGTGGTATAATCGCCCACCCTGCTCTGCGTATTTCAATTTTCTTACTACTTGAGTAGTGCAGAATAATCGCCCATTTTATGTTACATTATTTCAATGAGAATGGTGCGGTACAATCACCCTTCTCATTCACACTGAAAATCTCGAGCCAAAAGTTTCGAGTGCTTATCATTTTGGCCTGAAGATCAAAATGAAAAATTTGTAAGAACCAGAAGTTCTAACATTACATTCCTCCAGGAATACATATTATTGCAAGTTCTTACACATGTCATTTTCTTTCAGAAAAGAAAATGGCGAACTTGGCAAAACTTGAATATGCTGCCCTGGACATTACCGGGAAGAATTACCTTACCTGGGTACTGGATACCAAGATCCGTCTGGAAGCATGGAATCTTGGAGATACCATCAGGGAAGAAAGCAACTCATCCTCTCAAGATCGGGCGAAGGCCATGATCTTTATTTGCCGCCATCTTGATGAGGGACTAAAGAGTGAGTACTTAACGGTTGAAGATTCGTTAGCTCTCTGGGAGGCCTTGAGAAACAGATACAATCACTAGACAACAGTAATTCTTCCAAGAGCTCGCTATGAGTGGTCTCACCTGAGAATCCAAGATTTCAAATCAGTGGCAGTGTACAATTCTGCGTTGTTCAGGATTACCTCTCAGATGAAGCTCTGTGGGGATACCATTACTGAGGAAATGTTGCTGGAAAAGACTTACAACACATTTCATGCCAATAATGTGCTCCTGCAGCAGCAGTATAGAGTGCGAGGCTACACTGAATACAACCAGCTGATATCTGTGCTCCTGGTAGTTGAACAAAATAATGAGCTCCTGATGAAAAACCATAATTCCCGACCTACTGGATCTGCACCATTCCCAGAGTGAATGCTGTTTCCCTCGAAGTGAATGCCACATCCTCTGGTGGTGATAATCATAAACGAGGACGTAGCCACAAGCGAGGTCGATGGAATAGGAAAGGCAATAACCATGGTGTTCAGTTTCACAACCAGGTTCTGAGGCATAATTCAGGCCCGAGCTTTAAAAATGTGAATTGTCACAAAGGCAAAGCTCATATGAACAATGCTCCCAGGAACATTGAAGGAGCCTGCCATAGGTGTGGTGGCAATGGGCATTGGGCACGAACTTATCGTACCCCAAAACATCTAGTAGAGTTGTATCAAGCCTCCCTCAAGGAGAAGGGTGTCAAGACCAATTTTCTCAACCAGGCTAAACCAATGGATATACCTGATCCAGTGTTTGATTTATCAGGGTAATTGGACACAACTCACCTAGATGTTTCAGACTTCATTATGGAAAGGGAAATGAAGTATACCGGTCCGACTAAATCGTTTATGTTTAATGTACTTTTATTATGCTAAACTTGTTGTGTAAAACTAATTTTTCATATTCAATAAAAGTGGCATGTAAATTTCCTGTTATAAATTGTTTGTTAACTGTGATTCCATTTACTCAGAAAGCATGGATAAAACTGTGGTTATTCTCATAACATGAGAAATGGCAGAGATATTTGTCTTGCAGACAGTACAACCACACATACAATACTTCGTGATCGAAAGTATTTCTCAAGCTTAATGCTTTCAAGAGTAGGGGTAACAACAATATCAGGACCTTCAGATGTAATTGAAGGCTCAGGGAAAGCCCAAATTATGTTACCAAATGGAACAACATTGTCCATACAAAATGAATTGTATGCTACTCGATCTACTCGTAACTTGTTGAGTTTCAAAGACATACGTTTAAATGGATACCACATTGAAACGAAAAGTGCAAAAAATGTGGAGTATTTATGCATTACCTCCAATGATACCCAGAAGCGTATATTGGAGAAGTTGCATGGTTTTTCGAGTGGATTATATTATACATACATAAGGACAATTGAATCACATACTGTCATGAACCAGAAGTTCATTGATTCAACGGTTTACATGCTTTGGCATGACTGTCTAGGTCATCCAGGATCCACCATGATGCGTAGGATCATTACGAACTCTAATGGACATCCATTATTGAGCAGAGATATTGTTATCTCAAATGATAACCCTTGCAAGGCTTGTTCTCAAGGGAAGTTGGTAATTAGACCATCACAACTAAAGGTTGATGCTGAATCCCCATCATTTCTGCAAAGAATTCAAGGGGATATTTATGGACCTATTCAACCATCTTGTGGACCATTTCGATATTTTATGGTTTTGGTTGATGCATCCACCAGATGGTCACATGTTTGTCTCTTGTCTACTCGGAATGTAGCTTTTGTGAGACTTCTTGCTCAGATAACTAAATTACGAGCACAGTTCCCAGATTATCCCATTAAGTCAATCTGACTTGATAATGCTGGTGAATTTACGTCTCAAACCTTTGATGATTACTGCATGACATTGGGCATTGATGTTGAACACCATGTTCCTCATGTCCATACTCAAAATGGTTTAGCAGAAGCATTGATTAAGCAGCTTCAGTTAATAGCCCGCACTCTGCTTATGAAAACCAAATTGCCAGTTTCTGCATGGGGACATGTCATCCTACATGTTGCATCATTAGTTCGATTGAGACCTATAGCTAACCACCAATACTTCTCAATACAACTCGTGTTTGGACGTCGGCCAAACATTTCACATTTACGAGTTTTTGGTTGTGCTGTTTATGTGCCTATTGCACCCCCGCAACGCACTAAAATGGGACCTCAGCGTAGACTGGGAATTTATGTGGGGTTTGATTCACCATCTATCATTAGATATTTGGAACCCTTGACAGGTGATATGTTGGAAAGATTACTTTGTAAAGATTACTTTTGTGTTTGCAAGGTGTGTGATCAACTTCGACGCAGAACGAAGCCGGGGAGGAGTATATATAGATCCCTTTTATTTTCATTGAACATCAAAAAGCACTCCTAGAATTCTAGAACAAGTGTGACGAATCCCAAAGGCAATGCACTAACTTAAAATTCAGATCACATTGAAACTGACACGAAAATGCACCATATGCAAAACCAAAGTTAAGTTGAGAGAACAATAAGAATATACCATTTGTTGCAGGCGAACCTGCCGCTGCTCGTTTTCTCTGCTGTGATTTTTCTTAAGATCTTTCCACTGAGCTTCAAATTTCAACAGGGCCCTGCCCTGCTCTAAGAACGACTTCTCAAGGTGGTACCTCAATTCCTGAAAGTTTTGATGCAATTTTGCTATTTAACAGCATAAAAAAAGAACAAAAATAAATCTAGTAAGCTACTACAGGCCAATCAAATTGTAACAAAAAGAAATGAAATTTAAAACATGCAGCCATTATCAAAGGCAAATGGAAACATGGGTATCTAATAAAAACTCAAAACTCACCAATTGCATTATCCAATTCCTCTAAGCAGTTGGCCATTTCAGAACTCCAGCACAAAAAACCCACCTGGGTTTTGTGCTTTTCTGGCAGATTAAGCTTGTGGGGAATCTGGGGATCTCTGAAACCGCAATTTTCTGGGAATTAGAAGATCCCACATGCAAAAAAAAGTGCTTTTGACAATTGGGCAGAAAGCAAAAGCAGATTGAAAAAAGAAGCAGAATTTACAGTCAACTATGTGACTGATGGAAATTGAGGGCGGTGAGGTGAAGGGGGCTTTGATTCCTCAGCCCACCAATTAGCTTTGTTGCATGAATTCATAAGGAGAGCAGGTTTAATATTTTTTATTTATTTAATTTCCATTTTTGGGGCGAGAAGAGAGCTGGGTTTTGTGAGAGAAGAAAATCTGAGCAGTGTTTGTTTGAACAAGTGGACAGTAGAACAGAGAACTCGGAATTCTTGGGAGGATTTCTCAACGAAGAAGAAGAAAGTGGACTACTTTGCTCATGCCCACCAGCATGTATATTGGTGGGCCGAACCCACTCTTCATCTCTACAACATGAAAATGAAAACCATTTGAATTAGCGTTTTTTCATAATACAAACGATATTTTACAGTAAAAAGAAATAAAGGTTTGAATTCAAAACACCGTAGGTTGAAGAAGAAAAGACTAATAAATATGATTTAAATCAACTTTTTATCGCAACTGTTAAACCCCATCCCAAACTATGTAATTTTATATACATGAACATATGAAATTACCATTTTTACCCTTTGTTCCCTACCCAATCCGGATCCCCTTTTTAGATTTTCCCCTAATTTTCCTCCTTTTTCTGCCTGTCACGTGGCAGTTCCATATCTCCCTTTCTCTTCTTCTCTCTTCACCCCCTCGAGACACACACACACTCTCTCAGCTCACTCACTTTCTCTCTCTCTCGGACCCCTCTCCCTTTCCCTTCCCAGCGACACACACACTCTCTCTTCCTTCCCGGCAACACACACACCCACACACCTAACCGTGACACCACAACGAACAACGACACCACCACCACCGTGATGGCTTTCTCTCTCATTCTCTTGTCTCTGTGAAGCATAGAGAACCCAAGAACCCAGATCCGGCGAGCCCCATGGCTTTCGAGCCAAAATCCGGCCAACTCCGGCCACTACTTGAGAAACCAAAGGTACCATTCTAACCTACATTTTTTTATCTCCACTTTGGTAGTTAGTTATAGGTTCTAGTGGAGAAACAAGGTCAATCGGAGCTCGGGAAGCTCTGGTTTCCTCCTTCGTGAATCTAGCATGAGAACCGGGTTGTTTTGACCCAAACCCGAAGCCCAAGTCCTTTAGCCCAAACCCTTGGGCCAGGCTTTCAAGCCCAAACCCTTTAAAGCCCAACCCCAAACCCAAAGAAAACCAGGCCCTTAGGCTATCCAAGTCGGGCCTTAGGCCCGTTAAACCCTCGGGCTAAACCCTTTGAAACCCAACCCAACCCTTAACTTGAAACCCAAGGGAACCTCGATCTTTGGGCCATAGAACCGGCCCATTTGAGAAGCCCAAAAGCCCAATAGGCCTAGCCCAGTCCACTAAGTCAACCCAAAACCCTCAAGTCCAAACCCAGAATTGGCCCAAACCATGAGCCCAGCCACGCGTGAGGCCGAGCCGGTGTCGACGCGTGGAGTGCACGCGCCGCCATCCACATCGGCGCCGATGACTTTTCCGGCCAACTCTTCAGCAACCTACAGCGGCGCGTGGCATTCGGAGCCGCCACCTTGTGGCAGCGCGTGAGGGTACCTGAGATCCTCTTTTATGTTTTTTGATGTCCTGAATCCGTTTATGACATCTGTTTTCCAAAATTTAATCGTTATGTTAGAGTTTTATTAATTGGACCCTTTATGTGCTTAGGTGCAATTATTAGCAGCGTTTATGTCCTTCCTATTTCACATGACTCTTTGACGACGAAGTATCTGTGACTAGACCCCTTCTAAAATGCATATTTTAATAGTAAAAATGCATACATGAAAATCATGATTTAATGGTTATGTTTTATGAAACATTTTATGAGTAAATTGGATTTACACTTTATGATTATCATGCTTTACTGAGAATATTTTGGAGCACCATACTTTATCAAATTTATGTTCTTTGTCGTATATATGATGGATGACTATATACTATTTATGAACATGTTTTTTCACTCTTTATAGTATATATGATGGATGACTATATACTATAAAGATGTTTTGAGATATATTTACTTATGTTGGAAAGATTATATTCAATGTTTTGTGCTTATCTAGTGGTCACTGTTTTGCCTACGGGCAATGATACTTATATTGGCTTCGGTCGGGTGATGTAGTGACCTACAGGTTGGAAGATATTTATTGGCCTACGGGTTGGGTGATGTAGGGGCCTACGGATCGGAAGGATATTCATATTTTTGGCTTACGGTTCGGGTGATGTAAGGGCTTACGGGTTGATTATGATACCACTATTTAGCACATTATATACGATATATGTTTTAAGAAGTTTTATGGCATGCTAGGGTTTTCGGAAAACCTATTACATATTATACTATTGAGTTTCCATAAAACTTTGGGGGTTAGTACGTTGATGAATATATGTTTTAGTATTATATATATCAACTTGGTTCACTCATGTTTGTTTTGCGCGTTCACTCATGTTTGTTTTGCACCCTATCAGGACATAGGAACGAGGCGTACGATCCGAGCTACGAGGCATTCCCCTACCAGTGACATCATGCCATCCTTTTTGCTTAACATCATTGTAATAGCACATTCCGCTTGTATTCTGAATTAGATGTATGCTTTGAACATGTCATGCATTATCACTATCAATATCATTGTTGAGAGTTAAATATTATTATATTATCTTATAAGGTTTATGTTGGAAAATTACATTGCGTAGTTCGCGCGAAATTTACATGCATGTTTCACATGTTCTCAACATATGCATTCATTAAATGGCTTGCGTCATCCTTGGGTGTCGACCAGAACGTGGCCATCCCGATGTCCCCCGAACATCGGGATCGGGGCTTGTCAGCAACACACAAAGGCGTGAACGAGGGAATACAACACCATAAGGAGGAATTCATAAACCTTCATATTCTACTACGTACCCTAAATAGGAGGCATACGGCAACGATAAAAGAATAGGACAAAGGAATATGCTTGTAGCTCAGTTGGTTAAGAGCATTTACCAGTGCACTCAGAGGTCCATATATGTTTGTCCACGCGATTCTCATGACTCACTGATTAAGGAGTTGTTGATGTTATCAGTTTTTTTGTACCGTTAGTTTTGTTCCGAGTACAATGTGTTTGGATAAGTATGTGGAGGAGAAGTATCCTCTAAAACCGTCATTGCCCGATAACCCTCGACTAAAAGTTTTTAATCTCCAGGTAAGTTAAGGAACTCGTTCTTGTTCATTGCTGGGACACAGCCATAAAACAGAAATTTGCATTGCATCAAAACTTGTGTAAGAAATTCTACAAATTAATGCTACAAATTCTAAAGCACTTGAAGGGCTTTTGTTGTAGTTGTTATAGAATATAGACAAAATAAAGAATAAGAGTTATCTTTTCTTTGATCGCAATAGGACACTGCATACAACAAACACCACACCCCTAAAAGTTAAAAAGTAAGGCAAATTCAGATGAAATACCACATTTCAATAAAGATTTTAGGGAAAATACCACTAATCCCTTCTAAAAATTGTGAATAAATACACTTATATACAAACATTTATATTTTTGTCCCCATTGCACGTGATCCACATACCACCAGTGCCAGTTTCAAAAATTGTTGTTGGCCACAATCCTGGTGGTTACAAATTTTTCTAGTCGCTGAAATTTTTCAAGTCACTTTTACACAGTGACTTAAAAAAATACATGCAACTTTTTCATTTTCAATTATGTTTTGTTGTGTGAGTTTATTTTTTTCCAAACATGTAATTACAATAAAACTAGAGAAATTATGAGAAAATTCATTACTTAGCTTGTGCTTTTGAAGGTCATTGTTAGAGAGTGACATTGAGATTAAAAAAAGTTATCGGTCGCCTAAAAATTTGAAGGTCATGTTGGTCGTCGGAAAATTTGATCAATCGGTTTCAAGAAAAAGTTGCTCGGTCGAAAAACATGGTAGAATTAAGTGACAATCATGTAATTAATTTGAATTAGTAATATTTATAGAATTGTTTTGGTTGACTTTTCCATTGATAGCTAAACTGAAAACATGGTATTTTGGTTATTCATATCTGCATCAGATCCTGAGAAACAAGAGATTCCCCAAGGAATGAAGGATCTGTCATGTTAAATTATACTTTTCTAAATTATAAATACTTCAAATGTCTGCTATATTGTTTTCTGTAATCCTTGTCCTGAGCTAACCCTATTCAGGTCTATCATAACCACCTTTCACTTGGCGATGGCAATGCCTCCATCTTTGCCCAGCAGCAGCTCATCTGCTTCTAAAAACCAAGTCATATCACGGCCAATGACCAATCTACTACTTTCATGCAGCGTCAAACATTCCACGGTCACGGTCTAAACCTGCAGGTCAGATCATGCGGCGAATCATGGATATGTCATCTAATACCTCATCGGATTATTCGATGACACTTGAGGCTAACTATTGTCCTAATTTGCTCCATGGGTGAATATAAACTCAATCAGTGGGCCATATAATATCATAGTTTCAATTGTTATTTCAAACGGGGCATGCAAATATTTCTATTCGACAACTTTTTTCATAGGTGGATATGTCATCTAATACCTCATCATCGGATTATTCGATGACACTTGAGGCTAACTATTGTCCTAATTTGCTTCATGGATGGGTGAATATAAACTCAATCAGTGGGCCATATGGTATCACAGTTTCAATTGTTATTTCAAACAGGAGCATGCAAATAGTTCTATTTTTGGAAAAAAATGCATGCAAGTTGATAAACAAATAAATAAATGTGTAAATGTGTTGAACTTGGAACCACCAAGCCTCCAAATGTCTTAAGTGTAGAGGTGGGAAGGTAACCACACGACGCCTCCTACCTCTTTAGATACATAACAGAATTTAGTTTCAACGCTGAACTTGCACAATTCCATATAT